ATTACAAGAATATATTGAAATATTCGACAATCGAGACAGAAATTCTTACTTAGGAACTCATCGCGTCCTTGACCAAATTACAGCTCATAACTACAATGTTTAATATTCCTAATTTCCTAATAATATTTTTAATTGTATCGTCCGGTTTTTCCTCTAATGTTGCATTCAGTATGCATTACTGAATAATACTTATCGTTGTTAAAAAAGGAAATCAGTTCAAGAATACACGTTTGTATAATATAACTGTACTAACTTCATAAAGGCCTTACACTTTAATTCTCATGTTTAGCTTGACCAGGTGAATCATATAATATCAGATAAAGCTTTTAGTTACTTGTATTATTTAAAAAGGCACAATGTTACAATAATGCGTAAATCGTTTTTTAAAAATCCGATTTTGGGAACGTAATCACGTAGGAGCTCATGTACGCAGCAGTCCATATTACAGCCCTTTTTAGTTAAAGTTATAACAGGCGCTATTTGATATTACGAGCACATGGGTTATAATTATTTGGTTATTAGGTATAACAAGGTAACAAAGAAAGTGCAAACTAACTCGATAAATTGAAAGGTGTAATTTCACAGCAATGATGCCTCTCTCTCTCCCTTTCTCTCTCTCTCTCTCTCTCTCTCTCTCTCTCTATTAATCACGCTTTTGATTACGTGCTGGATTGTGAAGATGCTACTGGCTCAGCGTTCAGCCACATTATAATACTCTTTTATTGAGACTAAAGATGTTTTGTATTTGTTGATATATATATAAACACGCTAGATGGCGCAGCTGCTTCTGATCGTAAAAGCGAACTTCAAGCCGACCGTTAGGTCCTAACTGACCGCAGGGGGCGTGTTATTCTTCCACTTCCACTCACTCGCTTCAGTTTCTCAAAGAATGAGCAGTCATTCTTGCATACGACATAGGCGAAGATAATGCAAACCATTGACAGCTCCTCCCTCTCTTTGGGGTACATAGAGCTTATGACGAGGATACACTTACCGCTGAGCAGCACAGAATTATTTGAAGCTGAACGCATCCCCTACTGCCTCGTCTGAGTAGCGAAGCCAACCTTATTCTATTTAGTTGGCTTTGGAGATAGTGATACATAGTTTTGCACAAATTCACTTGAGATCCTTTGTCGCGCTCGCCTAAGTTCCTGCCTATTCCTCGACTATAAACTTTTTTAACCTAACAGAAAATTAATCGAAGGATGACGATTTCAAAGGTAATCTCCAGTATAATTTATTTCCATTCTGTGTTTTTAATACGCATAAAGTGGTGACGTTTTTTATCGCAGAGGAAAGGAAAAACAACAAATGGTCTGAACGGATGTTTCTAATAGCAGCTGAAATCCTAAGAAAGTCTGATGTCCTTCGGGACACAGTGTTTCTCCTATTTGCTTCATGTTTAACAGCGAACAGGACTAACTACATTCACACTAAACCTTACTTCTCAAGTGATCGAACTTATTTCTAGGATCCTAATTCTCTAAAATTAGGTAAGTTTCTAAGGTCTAACGGTAAGCACCCTGTGCACGTAAATGTGTCCAGCTACATTACAATGATTTACAATAACAAGATATTTTATTTATTAACAAGATATTATATATATATATATATATGTATATAGGAACAAGTTGCTGGCATCATCAGATTTGCACTCTCTTTTGCCGACCTTTCCGCTAAGAACAACGATGAGCAACTATTGTCAGCAGTCATTACAGAAAAATTTATATGCAAAGTGCTGGTCTGATTGCTAGATAACTGAACAATGACGGCAGATCTTTCAGCAAATACATCATCCCATTCACTATAACACAAGCTTACTAGGAAATTACGCGAATCTTATTTGTTTTTTCTTATTTTTAATTAGTTATTTATATAGCCTTTTATTAATTATGACTTATTTGTTTCCAGTTGCTCCATCTTATTCGGATAACCAGACACTCTATTGACGTTTTATTTTTCTCTACTTTTACCCGTTTTTCTTGCGCAACTACATTCTAGCTGAGTACGTAGAACTAACTCGCCACTACGCTTTATTTCATGGAATGATTGCCAGGTCTAACTGCTGCCCAAGGTACCTTTCCTACTTACTTGCATTTGTTAGCGCCCTTAAATGCCCTAAAATAGATAGAGGGTTTCCTAGGCTGTTTATTTGCGAACGTCTGATTAATCAGATGTATAATGTGGCTACCAAAATTTTTTTCTTTATGAATTCTTTATTAATTTTACCGTCGTATTACAAAGAATATCTCATACATATCGAGAAATCGATAGGCATGGAAAATACCTTAAATATATGATGAAATAAAGAGTAATATGAAGAAAGGTATTCCTTTTGGCTTAGCGCCCTTTTCTAAGAATCAAAGGAGATTATAGCTGAAGGTAGTAGCTGTCTCTATTACACAAAACTTGTTAAAGCTGGAAATGATTTTTTGCTATTTTGATCTTTTTAGACGTAGTTACACGTTTTGACTTTAGACTAACGGATACTGTTCCATGCTAGCGTTTTATATGTGGATGACAAGTTATGTTATCTTCTATTCAAAGTTAGTTGACCTGGTTACTAGTAAGTTGCATTTATGGCTGTAGAATCACCACAGTAGTATAAAAAAGAACGACTAACAATGTCAGTTTCCGAAAGTAACAACTGAGACTTTTCTCGTACTAAAACTTAGCATAATAATTACCTACTGAACTGCACGCTCTGATTAAAAAAGAACTACGAAATATTATAGGAATTGTCAGCTCTGGTCGCTGAGTTAGCTTAATATCTGGATGTCTAAGTGTAGAAAGCTTTTATTTTTAGGAAGGGGAAGAAAGCATCGCAGCCTGTCAATGAAGTGAGGTGCCTCTATCGGACCACAACAATAAGCCCCTGGACGTAACTCGAACACGGTGGTGCGCCTGCGTTTCGATGAAAGCATTTTGACCTCGCGGTCCACCATTACCCAATCGAGTTGTCAAAAAAACGATATAATAGCCGTGTAGTTGTAGACGAAATAGACAATAGTAGACGAAAGGCCACATCATATAACTGACAATGTCGAGAGCATCTTGGATGAATTAAATCCCTTGGTCGATTGGGTACCTTACGAGCTCAAAGGTCATCGTATATTGATGGTTTCTGAAACAAACTAGAGATCGGATTTGTTTGCTCGTGACCGTGACCGACAATATAGATTATAATGAAATAACTACGATAGAAATTCATTGAAGTTTTTTTTTGGTTATCTTTTAGAGAAGAATTAGAAAGCGTACGAGCATTTACTCAGAGTACTATCATTCTGTAGTGATAATAAGCGACCATTGAATTAAATACCACATTGGAAATCCAAGCTTGAAGATTGTGATTCTATTCACATGATTATAGTTGAATATTATAATTGAATATTATTAAATTGAAAACCATGTATCACTGCAAATCGAATTCGGGACAAAGAATGATGAGAACAGGACGTACCGTCCAGTGGGACTACCTGAAACAATTTGAAAGAGTTTGACGGATCAAAGATGATTGGAAGAGTTCTCCTTTCAAGCGGTCCTATTTGTGAATAACCGCATTTCTTCCTTATGTTCGGCTCCCCTACTGCATTTTCGAGGACAACTCATTGTTATTTTTATTGCGATTAGTCCTGTTTAGTTTTCATAGACCTTCAGTTATTTCTATAGAAAGCAACCGTGTAGATAAGTCATTGTTGATCGTATTACAATTATACAATACGACTTGCTATAATCCACGTTATTTCGTTTGCCACGCTCGAGTTCACGGATATCTTTGCATTCGTCAACCTTTCCGAGAGATGCCGCGAAAATAATCAACGTCCCCTCCCAAGCCAGCTCACCTTCTCCAATAATCTCAATCACTCACTTGATATCAATTGCACAGCCGAAGAACCTCATATCTTCCGCTCCATGGCTTCGGAGCCATCATCATACTTGTATACATATACACACTAGTTTTACCTTTGTGCGGGAACAAACTTTATAACTGGTAACGCACCTCTAGCCATAATCGCGCACCTGTGAACAGCATGTGAAGGTGAAGCGCGCGGGTGCTGCGGCCGGAACTGGGAGACAGGAACCAGGGGACAGATAGGGGGGTTAGTGGCTGAGTGTGCAAGTCGAGAAGTAAGGCGATTTCAGTTTCTCCAAGCAAACATATTAAACACGGTCAAGCATAGTAAAGAGGGACTCCCCTCAGCCAAACCGACTACACATCTCGATATCTTTACATTCATACTCGCATTGACATGCATAGACATATTCAGCGACACACGCACAGTCATGCAGCCCGCCCCTCTAATCGGTGGCGAGAAGTTGGGGTGAAGACGAAGAGATCCGTTCAAGCAGAGGAAGACCACTTTTCTCTGAATATCTGGGCCGAATCTGACCGGCTCATCGGAGGGTGCGGAATGGGGAAGGAGAATGAGGGAGAGAATTGTAGACAATCGGGGGATCAAGTTTGGCTGGCTAGCTAAAGCATTTACTTACTCTAGAGCGAAAACAGGATGCGATACCTAGGCTGCTACGCTGATGATCGTCGTGACAAACGATGATGGTGATCTGCTCCACCACCCATTGAAAGCGATCAAGTACGGGCGAGCACCAAGCAGGTTGGTCGTCAAGCGGAAAATCAATGACCCCATTGAGTAAAAGAACGATGTCAGACAGCAGCGAGACAAATTGTCAACGTACGCTTATGCAACTGGACAAGCTGCAGGTGCATTTATCCACTGATACCAACAGCAACGATTGGGTAATGGCAGCCGCGATGATGCGCCACCGCCACCAGGTGGTGCTGATGCAAGCGTAGGGCTTGTAGTAGGACTGAGCTGGAGGTACCCGCGAAAGGGAAATGAGCGTCACTGAAAGATAGGGACCAGCAATGGAATTGCCTGCGTACAACAGTTTTTTTGTGCCGATCCTGTAGGTTGACACAACGGATTGCTCCGAGACTAATGGCCGACGCGTACATAAAATAAATAGTGATAATGTTTGATTAGCTTAGCAACATTTGAGCGTGTTTATTCAACTCGTGTGTTACATTTTCTTAGTGCTATTTTTTTTGGCGTAGTATATTTCGTTGAATTTTCCCGCTCATTGTTTTCGGCAACGAATTGACGAATTCGATTTGGCGGGGATATTTGTACGGAGCAGTTCGCTGTTTAACGAATTCCTGAATCTCGTTAGCAAGTTTGTCGTGGTCGTAGCTTGTGTAGTTTTCAGCCAGTACTATAAATGCTTTAACTATTTCGAAACGGTCCGGGTCAGACACACCGACGACAGCCGACTCAACCACAGCCGGATGCTCTAGTAAAACACTTTCGATTTCAAATGGCCCGATGCGGTATCCAGCTGATATGATAATATCATCTGCTCTACTAACAAACCACAAGTAACCGTCTTCATCTTGGTATACTTTATCACCAGTCAAGTAGTAACCGTTTTTAAAGGCATCGGCGTTTTTATCCTCGGCGTCCCTATAGCCTTTTAGAAGACCAATTGGTTTTACAGGCGACATGGAAAGTGCTAGCTGGCCAACCTCGCCCTGTTTCACTGGACTCAGATCATCATTTAGGATGACAACTTGGCACTCCTTCAAAGGGAGACCCATTGAACCTGGTTTAACTACAGAGCCATAAGGTGCACAAGCAACAACGATGGTTTCTGTCTGACCATACCCCTCCCTGATATAAATGTTTGTCAGAGCTTTCCAAGCATGAAGCGCTTCGGGATTAAGCGGTTCACCCGCACTCACGCAGTCATTAAGTGCCTTAAAGTTGAACAATCCGCTCTCTTTGTTGATTAATTGCCGGTAAACAGTGGGAGGGGCACAGAATTTAGTAATCGGGTAGTCTTGGAGGACTTTTAGGACATCGTACGGCGAAAATCGGGCCGACGTATCAACAAACGCACATGCTCTATACAGCCATGTTGAGAACGTCGCGTAAGCCACTTTTGCCCATCCCGTGTCCGCCAAGCACCAGAAAACATCAGTGTGTTTTAAGAAATATAAACGTTTACCCGTTATAACATGGGCTAATAGATAACTATGTGTATGCTCAACCATTTTGGGCTTTCCTGTTGTTCCACTAGTGAAAAATACAATGGCCGGGTCGTTCAATGAAGTATTGTAACCGTCGAAATCACCGGCGGACTCCATAAGTGAGGTTAAACTCATCCAACCAACTCCTTCATACGAAATCGACATCTTGTATTCAACTTCTGTGTTGACGGTTGCAAAATCGACATCACTGATCTTATTTGAAATTACCATTTTCGGTGTAAAGCGCTCAATCCGGTATCGCAGATCGTAGCCAGTTGCCTGCGTGGTGATGCTAGTAAATTCAATGCCGCATCTCACTAGGCCGAGCATGATGAACCAATATTCCGGGCACTTCGGTAAGCACAAGAGAATCCGGTCTCCTTTTTTAATTCCATAATTATGGAAAACACCGGCGATTCTCTTCGAGATTTGCGATAGCTCACGATACGTGTATGTTTTTGATCTCCCGTCCTGTATCATCCATAGAGCCGGTACGCTCTTGCGTAGTGGGCTTTCGTGTTTCGCCCAAAGATCAACGACATCACGAGTGAAGTTGAAACGTTCGGGAAAGCTACTTACATCTCCAGTTTCAATAGCACGCTTTACGCTGTCCTCGTTGTTAAGCACCCTGCTTGATACGTGGAGTGCCTTTCCAATGCTCGAGAAGATTCTCAAACGCGACGCCAACAACATTTTCGTGTACAATATAGCACAGTTAAGGTTAACCACTCACAAATGATCAGCGAATTCCAGTTTCCAAGTATTTTTTCTAAGACCTGGCAAAAACAGCCTTGCATGAAAGAGACGATTTTCGCTGTAAAATAACTGAGCTCGCGAAGTTACCTACGAAAATCTCCACCTCTTCATATGATGAGTTATCAATCAATTACTCATACGTAATATATAAGCACGCTTAGTTCTGCCTGCTTACCTTGGAACTAGTAAAAAATTATATAGATTTCATTAAGCCAGCTAGATACCACCGAAGGCAGTGAATGTGTTTTGCCCTCGTTAACCTGTGATCATTGCATCTGGGTTGCAGATGTGCCTAGAGAGGACAATGTCTGTCCGTATCTAGAAAGGTGATGCACAAAACGTTTCATTAGAGATATTTGCCTCTACACTGCAACAGGTCCCTTTCGACCGTTTCAGTTAGATTACTAGCAAACCTTCGTTTTAAGAAAACCACTCACATGGCAGTGATTAGAGATAGTGTTATCGTAATGATGCTCGAGTAATCGCAGTTGTATAGGCACAATAATAGATTCTAAAACACCGGTAGAATCACAGCTTTCCACTCGCGAGTGTGGGTTTCAGTACTTACATATTTAAAATTATTGCATCGTTATTCACTAATAATTTCGCATTGTATTTATCAACTTTAAAGTGATTTTGCTAGGTCGTTTTTTTGTCCTCTCTGCATCAGAAATAGGCTCTTTTTGTATAAACAGTCTGTTTCATTTAATAAACATAAATAGATGTATGCTAATCGATTTTGTATAACACAAATGCCAGGGTCGGAAGAATGGCAGCAATAACGTCAAAAAAGCTAAACAATAAATTAAAAATTAATCAATATTGTTTGTCATTGCATAGTAACATCCTAATGTCCTTAGACGATCCTTTAATGTATTTTACTTTATAATTATCTCACTTTGCTTTGAGTGATTTCTTATTCACACATTTCATAATGGTTCAAAACAACAATTAATTAAATCGAGTAAAAAAAGACTGCGCAAATTATTGAGGATGACAAATTAGAAAATACGAAAAAAAAAACAGTTGTTTTTTTAGATGTGGATTTTTTTGTATTACGAATACAGCTTATTCAAGTCATATTCTGAAATCCACTCACGACGGTCCCGTGTTTCATAACCTATTTGACAGAATCCACATGTGTTAGCCCTGGGTTTAATTCGAACAAAGTCAACGAAGTGTAGAATGTTTCCTTTATGCCCGGTGCTGTTAGGACGGCTCGGCCAGCAACAAGGTTCACAGATGCGTTCAAAGCAAATTTGAGATGTCTTGAAACAATCGTAAGCCTTGAAGAATGTCGGAATTTTATAGATTTGTGATAGTGTTTTTAATCATATTTCGTAATATCATGTTTTTGTTCCGTTATAGCAGCCTGTAATTTACGCCAAGGAAATGCTCAAACACATTTAGTGCCGCGAAAATTAGTTGTCAATTCTGTAAACTCTACTTATTCTATCTTAGCCCAAGTGGCAAACAATGCCGACTAACGTCTGTTTAGTAAACTATTATTGAGCATTCGTACCAGTTTCTTTTAGATTGTGTATTACGTTCTTGGTGTAAACGATCGTAGAGTATTTACGATCCTAGCGCTATAGAACTAATGAACTATTGTCATCTTGACCGCATCGATGCTATCACCCCTAGATCAAGATAGAAATATGGTAAACTATATAGGACATGTCCTATAAAAAGTAAGTTCTATTTATTTTGTTCTTACCTTAGTTAATGTGTGAATATTTATGTCAACTTGATTAAGAGGTTCATCTCTGGTAGGATGGTTTTTATTCCCATCTGCGAGAACACATTGGCGCGAAATAATGGTTTCCAGATTCGACACAAAACTGAATTTTCAAAAAACATTTTTCTCATTTTTGCCACGGAGTCAAGTATGGCCTTTCCTCCCGGAAAGTATGATTAAGGATTTCTAAGTTGTTCCAAGCTTCTTGCTGGCTTCGTTTCCCGAGCGTTTAAAAATTTAGCTAATATAATAATAAAAATGTATTTAAGCTTTCAATTTCTCAAAATAACTGAAGAATATACGCAGTGGCATGATAAGTTAGTGGTAGCACAGTATAGGCTTAATTGCAACAGAATGATTGACGTAGGGAAGTGGCACGCTGAATGTTATAAGATCATAGAAAGACGGATATATTCGATAGTGGAATCTCTAAATCAGAGTTTGTAGAACTGCCATTGAGGTCTGATAATGGAAGCGGCGTGCTTTAATTGCTAATGGGATAACACAGAAGTAATGAAATGATTCGAACAATAAAAAAGTGGACTGACTGAAACAACGTGGCGCAGATATTATTCGTCATTAACGTATATTTGTTTGAATGGAAATAAGTATGAATATTAACACCTGTCTTCAGCACCGCTTCAGCTGTAACTGCTAGCTTCTCCGTTGGTTGTCTACTTTTGTCCTTCCACGTCATCTGCGTGTGAACTTACCGATTTGGTTAGATGAAAAACTATACTGTTAACAGATAATGCCTAAAATAATTGGCAGATTTTGGGTTAATTCAACGAACGAGTTCTTCGAATCTCAAAAGTACCCGCTATAAATTTCGAAATTATCTTGGACAAATTCGCAACTAAGATCTAGCTGAATAATATGATTTTCGTACCTTTTTATGTAAACCCCATCCCTTAACTCCTAACATATTTAGATTCTAAACCAGTTTCAGTCCAAACGTCCAAGTAAACCCGTTTAAATCAATTTCATAGAGACTCAGGTCCTTCTTTACACACAGTAAATTGCTAACTAAAAAGTGCTTAATGACCTCCTTAATGACGCAACGTTTTTTATTTTAAGTCATTTGACACATTGTAAACACTCACTAGCAGTTCACTACCTAGATGTAAGTTATCATCCTTAATAACACAAAGCGTCAAAAATATATTTATACAGAACTAATCATATGCCCTATATTCACATGGTTAATAATCAATTATATCCAGGTCGCATGACGTTTCTTAGAAATTGAGCGGTAAGATTCTGTTACCAGCCGAAGTGATGGTCACATCCGGTCCCATACAAATCCTTCGGACGCCAATACTGAGCATACTGACACGGACTTTCAGGCCTGCAATAATCGTTAAACACGTCAAATATAATCAAACACAAAAGTAATAAATGAATATCATAGACTAATTCGTGTTAACATTTCTCGCTAAACTTAATTACTATTCAGAAAAATCCGTTTTTTTTCGCCTCAAAGAAAACCATTCCACAGGGCATTTTAGATGATCGTTATGGGTAAAGATTAGATTTTTATCATCTGTCAGCTATTTTGCTAGATTACCTTCTAGTTTCAATATTGCCCTATTGAGTTTATGATACCACGCTTACTTTTACACCAATAAACCTACTTTTAAATAAATATAATATCAAGTAACTTATTTTCAACATCAAATACAAGCTATAAGTGTGTTTCGACAATCGAGAAGAATCTTAATAAAAATAATAATAAATAGTAAAAGGGATTTCAAAGCTTATGATATACATTTTGGAAAAAACAGGCAGAAATTAAAAGCAAAGTAGAGTACATCAGGCATCAGTTTTTACTAGAAATTTTATGTAATTACAAATGTAACTTTAAATTAGCAAAGTATTTTTAACTGAATTTCCACAATATGAAATTACATTTGAATGTGTGTGGGCAATTGTATAATTTGTGTGAAAAAGCGATTTTGACGTTAAGTAACAATACTGCTATCATGATCGCTCGACATAATTTTCGGTAGCATCAACCGTCCACATGTGCGCATTCTCACACGAATCGCTTCATCATTCCGACGGTAGTCATCGTATATAACTACACGGATGAACCATTGTAACACCTTGTTTATATATATATGTATAGATATATATATATATATATATATATGGAAAGAACATATGATAAGAAACTATATAATACGACCCACGATATTTGAACGAATCAATGTGAATAAGTACAAAAAAAAGGAAGTAGTAAGATGCTAACTTAGTAAGGTAGGACGAAATTAAAACCACTTTAAACGAACAGACGGACGCTTAATATTGTTACGGTTCTACTGTTACCGCTCGAATCACTGATATCATTTAAACGGCTAGATACACAACTGATAAATTAGAAACGACCTCCTTAGGTTTAGGTATTTTTTAAATCGATTTTATAGAAAAGCAATCCGAACATGCTTTTTTTTATTCTAGTTGCACGCACTACAATTTCTTATCTTTATACAGTAATGTAAAAAAAAAAAAAAACTCCTTAAATTCTGATTTCTCGATTTCGATATATATATGACCAAAATCAATGATTAAGAGAGATAGGAGTTACTGTCTAAAACATGAGGTAGCTGTAAAGTAGAACTTTTTACTGTAAAAATAAGGAAGTCTAGGAAATTATAGAGTATTGAGTAGGTGAGTCGTACACCCAATAAACATACCTACGAATGCAGCAGCTGTCGAAAGTGGCAAAACCGAAATCAAAATTTGCCAGTTAAATTGTATTACAATTTTTTACAGCGTTGTGGAGGAAACAATACTCAAATGAAAAAAACAGTAGTCGTTTTTAAGGAAAAGCCACTGTCATGAATTTCGAAAACAGAATCTACCATTATCTATTATAGAGAAACACTACGATTTATTCAACTGAAAGGATTCGACCAAACATTGAATTTCTTAATAACGTTTGTTTACAGAAAACATGACATCTAGTCCCGAATGCTAACTTAAGCAACTTGTTGCCTGAACCAATATCATGTTAGGAAATATGGCTAGGACCGGTCAAACGAAAATCTTGAACAGCTGGTCGGTTTACATAGCCTTAGTTTGCCCGATTTTTTAAAAAGGGCGTAGGAAATGCTCGTTCACATGTTCTGCGACAAGATCATTAACGCTTCTTGGATTGACAAGGACGTAAGGACCTTATGAAAAGTCTTGCGTAAGTCTTGCAATGTCGACTGCTGCAGAACATTCGCAGGCTGTGGTTCTCCGCCGTTTCTGTACTTCGAAGCACATGTTACCGGCAGGGGCAAATCTTCTCTTAATGATATAGAGATAACGTGGATTTTTGCCCAACATTTTGCATCAACAGCCATGTGTCTCGTTCAAGAGACGCTGTATAGACGTTGCACTCGGACTAGCACATTTTTAGCATATCATAGAAAGCAATGCGACGAGCAAGTTGTACAATGTCAGTCATATACGGTTGAAATTGTCCCTAAAGCGTCCATGATTCTGCTTTAGACTGCAGCGCTGGCTTTTCTTTAGAAAATCACTGTGTTACTTGACGTGTACAAATATATAGGGTAAAGGTTGCCGTCAAACGAAACTAAATATATTTAACTTTTTTTTTTCAAAACAGAACTTCGAACGTCTGAACTTTGAACATCATATTGCAGTAACTTTAGTGCTTCCAAAAAGTATATAGATGCAAAACTTATACTCGTTTAACAAATCATATGTATCCGGTTGTTTCCCTATTACAGTTGTTGTATTATTATGTGTCTTTAGCGGGACTTGAGACAACAACTCCTGCTCGCAACCCCCTAATTATACCTACTAGTACATTGATACACATGTGCATTCATCTATAGTTTCTACAAAGCTATCTATATCGTCAAAAATATATGTAATTTACTTGCTGCCTTCGAGATACGATTATTATTATTATTATTTTTCACGTTACCAATGTGAATGCTGGTCATTGTCACGGGAGATCATAAGTTCAAATTTCTGTGACACTACACGTATACATACTGTACGGTAATTGGGAAATGAGAAAATAGGTTGGCATACTCACGGTAGATGGTCAGGGAGTCTAGTCGTGTGAAGTATAAAACCCTTCTTGTCGGGTACAGCCACGTAAAGTGGCACGGGAACGGGGACCGCGTGAATTGACTTGATTAACTTTGGAAGATACTTCTTCATCTTTTTGTGTACCACCTATAAGTTGATACATCAAAATGTACTTTATTTTCATTCGCAAAATATGGCCGCAAATAACTTTATTCGGTCACTGGGCCATGTTGTTTATTAGAACTGTATCTATCATAGCTCTAAGGTACTGATTGCAACACCACCTAAACTAATCGCAGTCCCGATAGCAGTGGAATAGTGTAACAGATTATCTACCGGTTATGATATGATGGGTTCCGCTACATTCTTGCTGAAGATGGCAACAAGGTAAACATTTCGCCAATATATTAACCTACTAATTAAAAACTAAATCAAGAAGTACCTAGAACTAGATCGACAGGTAACAAAATCGACACAATCGAGTTATTTAAAAACCCAAAGACAAATATCAATAACGATTAACAGAGACAAATTTACGATTCGAATATATTTCTATAATCACTTAAGATAAATATTTCCTCTTTTCGTTTATGGGTTTTGTATTCACCATGGGCACACGCTTGACCTCGTGCCTGTAACGTCACCATTTCTCTTTCGTTTCTTCCCAAACTTGGAAAATATCTATCAATTACTGGATATTTACATTTAATTATCGAACCACTACCTTAAGTGCTATGACGTGCTTCACTCCTTCGACGTGATGAGTACTCTCAGATAGGTGGATGAGGGCTGGTAAGATCAATAAACTTGAACAGAGCACATGCGGAAGTAGATTCATCCTTCACTAGGTGCAACAAACACGACATACAAAGAATGAGGAACGCTTATCTTACATTCGTTATCCGGGAAAGTTTTGTACTGGCATCGGTTTCATAGCTGTTATTTGTAGTTCGTTTTTTTTTCTATGTATACGTCTTACAATAGAAGGGAATAGTGGCACATTAACATTATTAGTTCACATTGACAATCGTAACATGTTACCATTTGTAAATCAGCATCCGGTTAGCCCATCAGAAAGTCAATCAATCGACCTATAATGTCTGCAGATACGTTTAATTCGTTTTTTGATACGTGTGCGTGCTAAAACTTGGTATTTTAATGAGGACCGGTTTTTAATACGTATTCTGCTTTGGAGAAATGGCGCAGTTATTCTCAATCCTGTTTATGTTGCTTTTCGGTATTTCATCAAAATTTTCATCTTCTCTTCCTAAATGGGTAGTGATATTTTAAAAATATAATAGACACGCATGAACCCCCAACCCACCTCCGCTTGAACAAAACGCGGAGCTTAAGTCATTGCATTATTCTGAACCAGATTGTGTAAACTGGCACATCGGTACTAGAAGCCATTGTACATACACAGAGCATAAACCATTGTAATAGATGAGATAATCTAAAAGTCACCACGTAAGTGTTGCATGCGAGCACAACTTCCGTAAAACTTAGTAACTGTCCGCTCCACCGAGACACGGGCAGACGTTAGCAAGTGCACTTGTACCTGGATGTGGCCAAACCTGAGGGTAAAGATTATACGTTCACACTATAAGCTCACGTAGTTGAATCGATTGAGCCGTTGCTAACGAACAAAGCGCGACACGGTTTACCACCAAAGGCATCTTCCTAGATCAAATTGTCTTTGTTCTCCACTACCGTCACCGTAACGACAACCATAATCAACAACTGTTGGCTCCACGGTCCGATCATGTGAAATTTCATTTGTGAGAGCTGCCGATTCTTTACGCTCACATCATAGCCCAGTCGTTATTGTCATGGTCACGGGGCTAACTGCCGCTGCTGAAGACCATGGCCCATGTCTCACACTGCTTCCCTTTGCACCGAGCCAGCCCCCACCACCCCCACAGACTCATTTAATCGCAGCGTTGTGGATCACTTGTTGACGACAAGCGACCATTACTTCACTGGTGGTTATGTCTTGCTGATAGAACGGGGCCCCTTATTGCCTAAATCGGGCAGCTTCTTTATTCCGTTTGTCTTTCTCTCCTCTTCAGTTTGCCTTCGGATCCGCATCACCTGATGCTTTGCTCTAACTTTCACATAAGTCCCGTAGCTAATGGAGTAATGATATCTATGAAGTGTTGTGGATGAAAACCCCCCGTTTGGTACCGCCGATAACGCTATTTGTGTTGCGATAGCCCGTCTGCAAACGCCGCCATCATCATCATCATCATCATCATCATCATCATCATCGTGATCAGCATAATCATTATGACAGTTTGACTGCTGCGTCACCAAGGTGGTTTCGCTCAGTTTACTGGATTAGCAGCAATTATATATCAATATTTTATCGCAAAAAGCTTTGATGATGCCAGCTGATGAGCCTATGGGAGATTTTTGTAACCGCTGTGTCAGCAGCAGTTCAAGGAACAAAAACAACAGACATGGCGGGCGAGGAGAAAGTGAACGAGACGTTGCGTCGATGGTCACTAATTGCCTCGGATCACAGGGACTGCGATTGGGCATACATAGTACGCACTTATGCAGAACGACGAAGTGATGTAAGCAGCGGCAATCGCTAGATAAGAAAACATCTAACGCTTTTATTGAGACACAGCTATGCCGCGAGCCCGAATCAAACAATCATGGAGCGTTAAGAAAAGCTTAATTTCAACGATGTATATATACGTAGATTAACGAACCGACTCCACGCCTGACGTAAATTTACTATGAGAAAGTATCTTTTGGGCGTGACATTACATTATGCGTTGGTGTGCTTTAAACATTCCAACCAGTAGCGCCGCCAGTGTTTCACACAGATCTTGATAAGTCGCCCAGATGGACTCACTCCACCTAGTGACATCTAATAAGGACTGTTCGGATATATTTGATAGTAACTAAGCAGTATATTTAACGGGATGCATAGAGGAACACAAACGTTCGAACAGCGTAGAATGTTACGAAACTGTCTCATATGTGTCGATCATTTTACCAGTAAACTCTGACATTTTCACACTCCACAAACGCCCTATGATTATCTAACATTGCACCATATTCCTCGAATATATAAGCAAATCATATTTTTCTTTGTCTTAGCCTCTTTCGCAGCTGTTTATTAGTCTGACATTTTTGTTAGTTAGCAAGGCGCGCTGTCCACGTATCGGGGCATTCGTATTTCGAAGCGATCGTTGAGTTGATACTGACGTCACAGATTTATAAACAGTTGTCGTTTTTTAGAATAACTTCATTTTGTGATAGCTTCAGTATTTAATTTAAGCGTAATTTAATTTCAACGACAATTAAAATTTGTACGCCACAGCTGTTCATTTACATCGAATCTCACAGCGTACCATGTTAATTATATTATTTCAACCGCAAGGTAATTTTGAATGACTACAGTTTTAAAATAGATACCGTTTCACTGCAGTGTTATTATTCACACGAACTCAATATAAATGAACAAATAAAATAACACCAGTAAACTGTACTTTAACCGTGTGGTTATATGATTTTTCAGGATTCTCAGTTGCAATCACTGATTGGCATGGAGTCATCATTATGCATTTTTAAAATCGCTTACATGAACAATGTATGTCTCAGCATGAACATTTTTATTGTTTATGTTAATGTTTCTTCGAAATTTTTGCATTTGCCTGTTTTCTCATCGAGCAATGCAATTATGAACGTTTGTTCGTGAAGGTAGTACCTTGAAATACCACATTGTCTGAGCTGTGCCAAAAATTCGAGAACTGTTTTCTAAAAACCATTGATCACCTTTAAGCTGTACACACGCACACACACTGATATCCCATTTTAGTAGAACTGTTACCAACTGGCAGCAGCAGCAGCAGCTGTTCTAACATTAAAATACTGAAAAATAAAACAGCAATTAAGGAAAAAATATCAAAAAGATATATTTCTCTTCGTTATATTGCTTGTAGATCTTAGTAAGTGCTATGCTTCTAATTGTTGATAGCAAAGCACGCTGAGTTAATTATCACCACGTTTCCTTCTCAACGCAATTTTTTTACAAGGTTAAGGGGTGTATTTATTCAAACTAGCTTATTTCTAGGGTTGACTGACTTTATTGTATTCTGCTTATTCGGCGAACGGCGAATGTTATAATCCTATTGACGTGGCGGTTCTTTTTGCAAGCTATTTATTATTTAGTTAAACTGTCTTCGACCGTTACTGTTTCTAATTCTCTATTTTTTGCTGGCTTACTTTACTTTAATTAACAGTCGTTGGCCATGATTATCGAGTTTTTCCACCTTCATATCTTTCTAGCAGTTGCAATGTTACGTTTTGAATATGCCTTACAAAACTCTATCAGCCACACTGTATTTTATTTCCTAAATCTGTTGCTTTTGTTCTGGAGGTTCTTCTAAGTAGATCTTCGCCTGCTATAGCTTCGTGTGTCTCAATTATTTAGTTAAAAGTTTTCTTCATAGTCTTGGCTATTCGTTCTGCTATATGGTGAAGTGAGCTGTTCGATAAAACCAAAAGATATCTTATAAATTGTGCTTATCTCATTTTAATTGCGCCTACGTAGCTTATACTATACGATGAACTAACCACTTGATCCTGTAGTATGGAAATTATTTCACCTTCAACTGTTGAACCATCTACGACACGAGCAAAATTTCGAGTTTAATTATATTGTTATTATAACAGTCTCGCGCATTTCTATTCTAAAAATTCTCATTCTTCAGACCACAGGCTTCTTCCACAGGCACTCTCGGTTTGTGTCAATTTTTGTTTTGCTTTCAAAATGAATCGCTTAAAAGTTCTAATTGAGATATGTTGAATTATCTGAATTCATCACCAGAACTTTCTATGACAATCTAAAGGTGTTAGTACTTATTTGGTCAATTTTGATCGAAAAACTGCACCGCGGACGCTTACGTCTGCCTAGGCGCCTAACACCAAATCTTATTAACGGTGGTTCTCTTCATGGACATACGCGTATGAGCTGCTTTGAATTAAGATAACGACTAATATGTTAACCATTTCATTTATATGAGTAAAAGATAATTAGTCTGCTTTGCAAATAACACATTCCAGACGAACTGTTTGTTTTCCTGCGATGCACTAAAAAAAGATCCTAAATGGCTATATGTAACTTATTTACAACAAAAAAAAAATTTGTGTTTACAAAACGAAACACTAATTGAAAACACAAGTTACAAGTCGTATAGACTTTTTTTTTAAATATTTCGTAGTTTTTCGCTCCAAGCCGATTCAAAACATAGGAGACTGCCTTAAGTTGAACCTAAGTGGTTTTTGTGTCTGTGTATAGGTGCATACCGTTTTTATGACAGTGACATGCCACAGCCTTCTAGAAGGCCATGGTTATCCCTGTTACTGCGGAAAGTTTAATTTTAGCTTCAACGAACTCTTGTTACTGTGGAAAGGTTCAATGGAAAAAATATTGAGAGGCGCGGTCGAACTTAAACCTGCCGTAGTTAGTTATATTTCTATTTATTATTTTTAGCTCTATGGCGAAATGTACCATAATAGTAAAATCATCTTTAGCCTAAAGCTATAGATAATATGTTTTGATGATCACCATTATTTAATTTCAATCATTATCAACAGATCTGGTTAACCGTTTGACAAGTTTGTCTTGTCTCCAACAAAAAACGATTAGGGTGGCTTTTTTCTACAGAAAAAAAGGTACATTAAATTCCGAAATCAATTACTACTAGGACATATAGTCGGCATGTTACAATCACACTCTCAGTCCTGAATTTTCGGTGCGTGTGTCTGTTGCAACCTTCGTGATCTGCTCTCTTGCTTATTTTTTTTTCACTGTTTGTATCGAAATTGACGGCTACCGGCTTGAGATTTTGAGATCGGAAAGCCTGCTTGCAGATCAGTCTGAAATTGTTACGTACGTGTACTCTCTTTATAGAGCAACGATTTGAAACAACACAGAATTTGTCTTCTAAGCAAGTCATAGTGCTAAAGCCCTGCTACAGTGCACACCCTTTAAGCGGAGCTTATCCCCCACTAACGCTCGTGCTTACAACGTAATCTTCTCTCATATGTACACTCACAAATCGCAAATAGTCTGTTATGTGCTTAAAGATGCAATTCAAAAGCTGGAGGTAGAATGTATACATAAAGAGTCGATTCCATTATTAATAATTAAAATAAGCCATTTCGAGCCGTTTTCATAGTACCGAAAAAGTCTTCAAACGAAAAGCAACGACAGTCTCAGTCTAATCAACAAAGGTTGTTTCTATGTAATTGAAATAGCACTATATTTACACGGGTTTATATCATTACATATGAGCAGTACCAAGTTATACCGATCGCGTTAAGAAACAATGACAGAAGCAGCCTCTTTGCGTACAACAAAACTATCTATGCGATTGTTCTATAGAATAGCGAAGAAGTTATTTTTTTTTTATAAATAATGCCTACTTAGAAATCAGAATATTTCTGAACTACAACTTGGGAACATAAAATAACGCGCATTCGCAGTTACAATCCTAAAAGGTAGCTCTGTTCAGTTTTTTCAGCTTTCTCGTTTAGAAGTTAGTGTAGACTTCCAAAGTTCTAGTTTAATCGAAATTGCATTATTAAGTGCATTAGTATGGTTAAGCCTACCGTACGCACTTTTGTTGTATCTCGTTTGCGACAGATTTAGCGGTAAAAATTGAACTCTACAAACCGAGTCGTATAGAACCAACCGAAATGTGAAAACACGAGCGGCGCCCCTTTCCTATTATAGTTTTTCTTTTCATGCTGTTGCATATATCTGTTACGGCCTTTCTGATCGCTCTGCATGTACAACTGATTTAACATGAAGCGTCGATGACTGTACTGCTGTAATATATGTCTCAGGCAGCACAGTCACTCTACAATAGACGGATAACATGCCCATAGGGGATTTGTGGGTTACTATGCTTTTTGCCATTTCTCATTGTACAGCCACTGCAAAACTCTTGCGCCGATTCAGTTTATCCTCGCGTCAATTAACAATTTGGGACTTTTATTGCAGAGTTTAACCAACATTGTAATGAGAGGAATAAACCCTCCAGGCCTCAAATGAACTTTTAATCCATCACTACTGCGGTTTTTTTTTCCCAGGCTAGCTTACTACGATACTTTCAAAATGACTTAAGCTAGACGATAATAATATTTGGATGGCCGATCGCGTGCAGCAGTCGTTTGCGACT